GTGTTCATTCAAGGTTCGGCTATGGAAGATACTTACCTGAGTTGGATGTGACCTGCAGAGGTGGCGCTGATGAGTAGTGACCACATTGATGACTTGGAGACTATTTGCAGGAGTAGTGCTGATTCACTGGAAGTCATAGGGATGACTTGACAAGAGATTGGTGTTGCGCTGATGAGCGCTGAACTCAGGGGAACTTTGAAACACTTTGTATTCATACTTCTGATAATATAAGCTGTGAAACTCGGTCTTTTTCTTCTCTACCTTTGTCTATGGTTGAGACTATTGATCACTGCGTGTGAAGATGATGCATGACATTTACACATCTGCGTGAGATGGTCCCCAGGACCCATGCAATTTTGGTATCGGAGCAGATGCTCGCTACTCTCATAGCGCTGGTCTGATCAAGGCCGGCGAGAAGAAGTGGTGATGGAGGAAGAGTGAAGGAGGGAGGAAGAGAAGAAGGGTTTGATAGTGGGGGAAGCAGGCCGAAGAAGAAGTGGCGAAGTCTACTTACCTGGAACATGCGGAGCGTCGTGGAGCACCATCGGCGGTATCTTCAAGAAGAGAGAGAGACCTCCTCTCCCTAAACCTGCATGCATGTGTGTGTCCCCTACGTTCTCTCTCTCTGACCCTCTGAAGGTGACTGCTGCTGATCTGGTCAGGAGTCTGGATCTGGGGTGTCATAGCTGTCAGGTCTGAGCCGTCAGAGTCTGATGACCCAAGTGTGATGTGTCAGAGACTGGTCTCACTAAAGTAGCTGGTCTAGCATTCTGCGAATAGGAGTAGGTCTCTCTCCTCTCCCTCTTGATAGGCAGGCTGGGTATCCTTATCAAGAACCAAGAATCGATGTGGGAAGTGGCTATGTGCCACGTCAGATAGCATGTACCAGGCAGTATAGGGATGATATTGAGTATCCCCCGGGCCTGTTGAGCCCAACAGAAAGAAACGTTGGAACGAAGTATTCCTGTCTGGTTGGATAAGTGAACCATCTGAATCTGCGTTGTACTCCATACCTGCATCAGACACCCAGCAAGTGAGTAAAAGAAAGAGAAAAGTATATATCAAGAGAGACGAACACATTGCCAAAAGTTCGATCCAAGAGGCCAGACAGCACATCAAAAAAAAAAAAAAAAAAAAAAAAAAAAAAAAAGTTCATTCTAGTTTGATCTATTGTTGATTGTACGCAGCACCTTCTACCGTTAAAAAAAAAGAAAAAGAGGAAAAGGAAAGGTATAAGTACTCCATTACCGCAAGTCAAGACCAAGTCTGTAAGTGGGATAGTACCTTGGTGACCCGGCGGAGGGTTTCCTGTGCCGGCAGTCATCGTGGATGACTATCCCATCCAGGGCCTGTTGGCCCTTTCTGTATTATTGGGGCCCTGTTCAGGCTGATGTTCCCGTTGGGGTTCGGACGTGTGTGTACGTCCCGCATGCTGATGCGGTCAGGGACAGTGAAGTCTGGCCCCACACCTGCAGAGCAAGCCAGAATTGACCGCAGGCTAGCAGAAAAGAAAAAAGAAAAGGAAGCAAAGAAAAAACAGAAAGAAGAAGAAGCAAGAAAGAAAATGAAAGAGAAAATGGACAAGGAGTTAGAAGAAGAATTGAAAAGTATAGAAAAAGAAAAAGAAGAAGAAGAAGAAGAAGAAGAAGTGTTGGAAAGACGTCGTCGCCAAGACATGCCTGAAAGCAGCACAACGCCCCGCCTTCCCGTTGAACCGCTGGACTGGGGCAGCCGGTACTACTACTCCAGCGAGCCGTTGAAAGAATCTGATGAAGAACGGGATACGTTCATCGCCAAGTTGGCCACTATTAAAGACACCGTTGAATGAAACCTGATGTTGGAGGAGAAACGGGCTGAGCTAAATCGCAGGCTGTTGGCCGCTAGACGGCAAGAGGTGGAAGAAAAGAAAAGATTGCAGGCAGAAGGGGATAAATTGCAAAAAGCTCTAGAAGCGCAAAAGGAAAACCCCTCTGCAACTGAAGCACAACTTGCACTCCTCAGGGAGGCCGTCCTCAACACGAGGCAAGACATGGACTTAATGCGGCAGACATTGCAACGTGTAGAAACACATCGGGTTGAATTTGAGAATGTCTGGAATAACTTCGTAGAAAAGTCAGCAAAGGACGTGGACCAACATGTGCAAACTTACATCCAGACTTTGGACGAACATATTAATAAAGTCTTCACCCCGGAGGTCGTAGAAAAGATTGTAAAGGGAGCTGGAGGCGACGGAGGAGATGGAGATGGCGACGGCGATGATGACAAGAAAGGAAAGAAGAAGATTGAGGGTTCAAAGGGTCAACCTTCTCAGAACCCTGGGCAGACTAACAAGATTAAGCTTAAATTGCCCTAGACCTATAATGGAAAGAAAGAAGAGAGTGTGTTGCACTGGGCGGCGACAATTGAAACCTATGTGTACGGACAGCGTATCCCATACTGGGACAGGGTGTTGATGGCAACTTCGTGCATGGGAGGCGACGCCATGAGCTTCGCCATCTCGCTGCAAAAGGAAGCGGGATGCAGCTCTATGGTAGAATATTCGCAACAGACCCGTATTGAGGATTTCCTTAAAGCGGTAAGAGAGAGATTTGAGGACAAGAACCTGGCAAGACGCACAAAAATGTTGATCCTCAGCCTTCCTGATAGGAAATGGAAGAGTACTTTTGCACTAAAGGCCACTATGGATGAATTATTGCAATGCCCTGATCACGGGTTGACGCCGGCCCAAATCTTAAACAGTTTTGCAAGAGCACTCCCGGATCCCCTGAGAACGCAACTTTATCCACGCACCAAAGAAGAGGGGATGACATATGAGAAGTTCGACAAGATCGCCATAGATCATGCCGGCTTCCTCGCTGAAGCGAATTATTGCCATTATTGGAAAGATCTGCAAGCGGGAAAGAGATGGCAAAACCGCACCATCTCAAGGTCTGTACCTGGGAAAGATAGTGTCCTTCTGACCTTTGAAGAAGGAGGCGCCGAGACCATCTCCTGGGATCAGGTAGACTATGGTCTCGATGAACCCAACAGACCGGTAGCTCAAGAGGGGAGTTACGCGGCTGTTGCAGCCCGCGGGGGAGGGCGTCAAGGAAGAGGTCGTGGCCGAGGAAGAGGTCACGGCCGTGGTGGACGAGGATTCGGCACCCAGAGGGGTGGTGGTGAAGGAAGCCACTACGTGGGAGGAAGGGGAAATGGTCCCTCATACGGTGGCCGTGGTTCTTACTCCACCTGGGGTAGAGGAAGAGGCTCATGGTACAACAAGTGGGATAAGCC